ATGTGTTGGATTACATTGTTTGATTTTCTAATGTTGAACCACCCTTGTATCCCTAGTATGAATCCCACCTGACCATGATGTATTATTTTTTCGATATCCTGTTGTTTTCTGTTGGCTAGAATTTTGTGGAGAATTCTTCGCGTCTGTATTCATGAGGGGTATTGGTTGGTAATTTTCTTTTTTTGTTGTGTCTGCCTGGCTTTGGTATCAAGGCTTTGCTGGCTTCATAGAATGAATTCAGGAGTACTGTATTTTTATGCAAATAACATGCACCTTCTGTGTTTGTTTGCTGGCTGCGCCCTCCCCCCACAAGGTATTTTGGTAAGTGCACTATGCTAATTTTTTTTATAGCACTGTATGCAGAAGGATTGGCATGATGATGCTTTTGAGGGTGCCTCAAGGGGGGAGGGCGCGGCCGGCAAACAAACTCAGAAGGTACATGTTATTTGCATAAAAATATGGTATCTCTTCCTTTTCTGTGTTCTGGAATAGTTTGAGTAGAATTGGCGTCAACTCTTTGAATGCTTGGTAGAACTCTCCAGTGAAGCCATCTGGGCTGGAGTCTTTTTTTGTTGGGAGTTTTTTTTTATGACATCATCAGTTTTCTTCTTCTGTTACAGATCTATTTAGGTTTTCTATCTCTATTTGTGTTAGTTTAGGTAGATAGTGTGTTTCTAGAATTTGTCCATTTCTTCTAGGGTTTCAGATTTGTTAGTGTACAATTTTTCATAATACTCTGTTGTAATCCTCGTTATCTCGCTTGGTTCTGTTATTATGGCTCCTGTTTCATTTTTATTTTCATTATTTGCATCTTTTCAATTTTTTTTTGTCATTTTGGCCAATGGTTTGTCCGTTTTATTGATCCTCTCAAAGAACCAACTTTTAATTTGGTTGATTCTTTCTGTTGTTTTTCTAATTCATTTATTTCTGCTCTGATCTTCATTATTTCCTTTCTTCTGGTGACTATGGACTTCTTTTGCTCTTCCTTTTCTGTTTGTTCAAGTTATTGGGTTAAGTTACTGATTTTGTACCTTTTGCCTTTTTTGATGTGTACATTTATTGCTATAAATTTTCTTCGGAGCACTGCTTTTGCTGTGTCCCAGAGGTTTTGGTGTATTCTGTCTTCATTCTCATTTGATTTCTAAGAATTTTTTAATTTCATGTTTCATTTCTTCTTTGAGCCAGTGGTTTGGTAGCTCATGTTGTTGTGTGATGTCATTGGCCTGCTCTCCGAGGGACTTCCTTTAATATTTCTCGTAAGGCTGATCTGGTTTTTACAAATTCCCTTAGTTTCTGCTTATCTGGGAATGTCTTATTTTCACCATTGTTTTTGAAAGACAGTTTTGCTGGATATGTGATTCTTGATTAGCAATTTTTTTTCTTCAGGATTTTATATATATCATTCCATTGCCTTCTTGTCTGCATGGCTTATGATGAGAAATCAGCGTTTAGTCTTATTGGCGCCCTTTTGTAAGTGATACTTTGTTTTTCATGAGCTACTTTCAGAATTCTTTGTCTTTGGTTTTGGAAAGTTTGATTATGATATGTCTCAGTGAATTTTTACGGGGAGCTATCCTGTGTGGGGTTTGCTGAGCTTCTTGGATTGTAACCTTCTCATCTTTCATGATATTTGGGAAGTTTTCAGCCACTGTATCTTCAAAAATTCTCTCTGTGCCTTTTTCCCCCTCCTCTTCTGGAATTCCTATTACACATAAATTATTCCTCTTAATGGTATACCACATCTTAGGCTTTCTTCGTTTTTCTTCATTCTTTTTTCTGATTGTTCCTCAGATGAATTAGTATCAAAGGGTTTATCCTCTATTTCACTGATTCTTCTATTGATTCAGTTCTACTTCTGTGTCCATCCATTCATTTATCTGTTTCTGATATTGTTAATCTTCTGAATTTCTAGTTGTTGTTGTTGTTGTTTTTTTAATCTAGTTGTTGTTTTGTATGGTTTCTAATTGAGTCTGTCATTTTGTTCTTGTATTATTTTCCTGAATTCTTCAAGGGTTTTTTCTGTGTTTTCCTTGATCTCTTTGAGGATCCTGAATATAAACCTTTTGAATTCCTTCTTAGGTAGTTCTACTGTCATTTCTCCCTCAGGAAGATTTTCTTTCCCTTTATTTTGCTCACTTGTGGGAGCCATCTTATCCTGTTTTTTCATATGATTTGTTATTGTCTGCTGTCTCTGAGGCATTAAGGTATTATTTTGTTTATGTATTTATTGATTGTTTGTTTTGTCCTGATTTTTTGTTTTGTTTTCCTATATTAGGGTGGGTGGGGCAGGCGTGCTCTGCTGATCAATGGTCTGGTGGCATGGGAATGCTTACCACCTGTTGCCAGGTGGGCGGGGCAGCAGTGGGCAGGGCGAGCACACGTCACTGTTCTCCAAGCATGCGGGGCACCTGGGGCAGGCTGGGCAGGAGCGGGCTGCCACCTGTAGTCATTCCAGTGGCACAGAAAATGTGATGGTGCTTGCTGGGTGGGTGGGGCGGTGGGCCAGGGGGTATGGTGGGCAACCAGCCACGCAGCAATGCTCACTGACGCTCACCCAGTGGGAAGGGCAGTGGGTGGGATGGTGTGGTGGGTGACTGGGGACATGGGAGCACTCTCTGCTGCTCGCCAGTTGGGCTGGTTGGTGGGCCTGAGGGTGTGGTGGATGACTAGCTATATGGAAGTGCTCACTGCTACTTGCTGGGTGTGCAGGGCGGTGGGTGGGATATGTGGCAGGTGGTGCGGTCTAGCAGGTGACTGGCGTGGTGAATGCATTCACTACTACTTGCTGGGTGGGCAGGGTGATGGGCAGGGCAGTATGGTAGGTGACTAGCAGCACGTTGCATTCCCTGCTGCTTGCTGGGTGGGTGGTGCTGTGGGTGTAGAGGTTTTGCAGGTGACCGGGAGCGTGGAGTGCTCTCTGCCGCTCACTGGGTGGGAGGGGCGGCAAGCAGGTGTGTGTGGTGGGCAACCAGCAGCGCAGGAGTGCTCACTGCCACCTGCTGGGTGAGCAGGAGGGGTGGCGAGTGGGGCGGGGTTGGGTAGGAGGGGAGAAGGGGGCTTGTACCACAGTCCTTATGTGGGCAGGGTGGCAGGGGTGGGAAGATTCGTGCTGCTTATCACCAGGATGGTGGGGGGAGGGGGAGTGTGCTCTTCTGGTCACCGGGCATGGGTTCCTGGGCATTCCCATTGGCTGCAGCCAGCAGTTAGGACCTGGTCCCAACCAAGTGTGAGGAGTGGGAAGTTGCCCAGTACCCGGCCAGGTGGGGGACCTCCTGCTGACACTCTGTGGATCTGTTACTTTGTGTGTGCCACCCATCCTAATGGTCAGGGACCTCCACTGCTGAGTAGTCCTGTCTCTGGATCTTGGCTCTCTCCCTGCTCTCTGGACTCCAGGATCCCTGGAGCTCTCATCTTCCTTCACGTACTTTCCCTCCTTAGATTCACGTCCTGCTCACCTTGCTTCACTCTGGGTATGTCTACACAGTTTCTCTGTCTTCTCTTGGGAATTCCGTGAAGTTGCCTTCCTGTGCTTTTCACCCAGGATTGCTGCTGATTTTGTTTTCAGGTGGCCATGCTGCACTGGGCTAGCTGGCAGGGCACCTTCGTTCTATATCTCTCCTCGTTTGTTGTTTTCATTCAGTTTCTCCTTTCAGTCACTGTTTGATCTAATTCTTTATCCTTCCGTTTGATGCTCATCAGGGTTCCAGGATTGTCATCTGTATCTGTTTCACTTGGTTTCTCAGGTCTTTGCTATAGGGGGATAGCATGGTGTGTTTGACTAAGCCACTGTCTTGGGCTGTCTCCCACGTGCATGCATTTTAAAAAGTGTTTGTGTGTGTGTATGTGTTTATTTAGGTGAAATCACATAACGAAACAAACCATTTCAAAATATGCATTTCAGTAGGATTTAGCACATTCACAATGTTGTGTGTGCGTGTGCATTTTTAATTTTATGTAAATAATAGTGCACTATAGATCTTGTTTTGTGTGTCATTTTCACTGAAGATTATATTTTAAGAATCTTTCTGTTACTTTTCTAGTTCATTACTTTTAACTGTTGCACAGTGTGCATTTTACTTACCGTTCCTTTAGTGATGAGAGTCTATTTTGCCTCCAGCTTCCCTCTACCTAGACTACATTGCAGTTAAGAAGCATTCATTCTTGATTTCATTTTGTACAGCAAGTAGATTATGTAGGGGCCTCTTGTGAAAATTTGATACCAAAAATTTCTAGTTTGATTCATTATCTGAGATCTGCTGGAGGAATTGGGCTATTTTAGACCCTAAACTCTACCCTCTCCAATCCATTTTGGCACCAGTCTAATTTCTTGGGCACATTTAAAGATCTCTGAACACTGCGTTTTGCCAGGTAAAGGATTGGGAGCACTCTCCACGCCACCTCTCAAGGTGTTGGTTCCTTATATATAAAATAAGGACATTGGGTAATTAGAAGGTTTTTAACATCCCTTCTAGGAGCAGTGTTCTGTGATTCATTGAAAGTCCTGTGACTTTTAGGTAATGATAGAATGCAGTGTATTTAATGACTGAATTCAAACTCTGGGTGTTCCAAACCGCTTTATCACTTATTAGCTCTGTGACTCTGGCAAGTTTCTTAACCTCTCAGTCGGTGCATCAGTTCCACATCTGTATGATGAAGGTCGTAATAGAATAGTTGTTGGATTAAATTTAAAGAGAATTTAAAGCACTTATCACAGTTCTCGCACACAGTAAGCACATAGTAAAATAATAGGTGTTATTCGTCATTTGCCTGTAGACTATAGATGTTTTATTTTCTTTGAATGCTAAATGTATTTTTGTGAAAATGATTACACTGCTCATTTGGCACCCACAAATGGAACAGAGGTTTGCCTAGAACCTAGCTTAGTTTACTTTACTTGCACGTGAAGTTTAAGAATACGTTTTGGATCCTTTCTATTTTCTCCTCTCAGTTCTGAGAAGCAGGAAGCATACTTAAATTCAAAACTGAACTTTTTTCCCTAGATAACCATGATGCTTACAGAGACTTCTACTGTGTCTTTTGCTCCTTTTGAGGATGCACTGGGTCGTATGCTGTTTGGCTGTCATCAACGATTTTCACCACGTGTAAAGAAAAATGAAACTAAATCCAATGGCACTGGTTCATCCACCTCAAAACCTACAGCTGATGCTTCAGACAAGCTTAAAAAGAAGCACAGTAAGAAGACTGAGTAAATTTACTTGCTGAGTTCTAGAAAGCAAAAAAAAAAAAAAATTTTTTTTCTTATCTACCTGTCAGATTGGTAAATATTTCTGTGTAAATGATGTGAAATAAAGATTTTATGTAAGGAATGAAGGTGACAAAAAGAAAGAACTTCTTTCTGTTTCAGGGAGATAACCCTTTTATGGATTGTAATCCTTGAATGCTGTGAGTGTATCATGTGAAACTGTTTTTCTAGTTAAATATAAAAGATTCTACTGTGATTATTTTAATAGTTTTATATTGATAAAATAAGGCTAGATTAAAAACATGTTACAGAAAGTAAACCTAACAGCGTTGAAAAAAATAACAAAAATCTAAAACTTTTTATTTAGGTATTTTCATACATATTTTTATTTGAATTTATTTGAACTATAGTTCAGTAGAATTAAATTTTGTTTCATATTACAATTATAATTTCCTAGGTATGGAAAACAATTCCTGTTTAATTTTGAGCACTGTAAAGAGTAAACTTTTCCTAAAATGCTTTATATTATGAATGAAAATAAATTACTAGTTTATGTTTCAGATGTAAACATTGTATTTTGTGCATATTAAATGGAAAATATCTGAAATTTTATTTAACTTTATTCCTAGTAGTATTATTTTTCGATGAGAACTGAGTTTTAATATGAGTTTAGAACTGGAGCCTACCATATTTTTACGCAAATAACACGCACCCTCTGCGTTTGCTGGCCATGCCCTGCCCTTGTGAGGCACCCTCACAAGCGCTGCCATGCCAGTCCTCTTCCACATATTGCTGTAAAAAAAAATGAGCATAGCGTGCTTACAAAAATACCTCAAGGGGGGAGGGCGTGGCCGACAAACAAATGCAGAAAGTGTGCGTTATTTGGGTAAAAACAATGGTATCTTACGCTCTTGTTTTAAAAACTACCTGTTTTTTTTTCCCCCCTAAAGAAATTCAAAGGTGTAGTTTTTAATAAATTACTATTCCATGGGTTTTTTTGTTTTTGTTTGAAACTTATTTTTTTTCTGTCTCTTTAAAGCTTACTTGTTTTAGCTGGAGGAGAAATTATTCTTCTCAGGGTTTCAAACATTCTTAACTTCCTTCTGATCTTAGTTGCCGTGAATACATTGGTGGCAGTTACTATCTTAATGATTAAAAAGAAAACATATATCCTCTTAATTTAAAAAATTTCCCTCTGTGTCTCCTATCTAGTGAACACTTTTCCAGTTTTCTGATTGAACATCTCTCACTAGTTTGCATGTGTCTGTTATATTTTAATCTACATGTACATATATATTTTATTTTAAATTAAAACTAGTTACCTTTATGTGAAAATGCTTGGCTCTAATGAGAATTGTCCTTGAACATTTGATAGTAACCAGCCAACCAAGAAGAAATAGAGAAACCAAAACCTTACATGGTAGTCCATTTGAATGAAGAGTGATGACATTAAATTTGGTTCTGTAATGCATAATAAAAAAAACAAGAAAAGGTACTAAGTAATGTTAGATTTTCTTGCTTTATTCTGTGGTTTAAAACTCCAGTTGTAACTTTAAACCTGCAACATGATTTTTTCCATCACAACCATGAACCTGCTACCTGCAAAGAGTAAGTACCAGGTAGTTTTGGATGGTTTAGAAGTATTCAGATTACATTCATGTTATAAGTTTTTTTTAAAAAAAAATTTTAACAACTGTACACACCAACAGGTACTAAACTTTTACTTGTTTTAAAAAAAGGTTTTTTTGGGAGGGAGCTTTTGTAGCATTGGAGTGCTAAGAAATGTATTTTTAAAATTGTTACATTAAATATTTAAGAGTTCTGTATTATATTTGATACCTTGTAGTTAAAAAAAACTTTTTCAAAATTAACATCTTACTAAGTATTGACTTCTTTTTGATGTTTGAATTCAACTGTAGTTGAAATGGTAGGGATCTTGATTTATATTTGTATGAAAGACCAACTTATTAAAATAAGTTATTTAGTACAATGGAGTATTACATTGTTTTTGTGTTTTTCCTTTTATATTTTCTGTGAGTTAGGAGTTCAGAATTCCTCTAGTGTTTTGACTTATACAGTATATATTCAATGATTCGTGTCCAAATGGGTCATTAGTACAGATTTTATTAATCTGTGCAAACATCCTATAACCCTTAGTTCAAGGTTCCTAAAACTTCCCACCCTGAATCTACTCAGGCCTGCCTGCAGAGACTTGACTGGACTTGCAAAGCAGATTGTTAGTCTTCTTACCCAACATGAAGCATGGATGAGTCCTATAGGCCTGCCTCACCCACCCAGTCATTGGTGGCACTGAGGAAGTCAAGACCTACCAGATCTCCTTAACAAAAAGAGACAAGAAGCTGGCAACATCATAACCAGTTTAACTCAGTGATCTAGTAAACTAGTAAACTCAGTCCACGAGTAAAATGTGGCCAAATGAATATCAAACTCTTGATTTATCAGATTACTCACTCTTCCTACCCCAGAGTATCACTTAAGGGCTGGAGAGAAACTAGATATGTGGGTTAGGTAAATTTTCAGTGGAAATTCCAGCCTCCCTGTGAGCAAATATCAAAAAAGTGGAGAAATGCATTTTTTTTGTCTGTTCCTTTAAGCATAGGCACCTTTCCACTAAAATCTACCTCAAATCACAAGTGGCATGTTGGAAATGGAATAATGTGTTCCAAAAATGCCCCTCCTGCCAAAAGCCTTTTGTAGTTTTTGCCCAAGGAATAATTAACATTCCTGGTGATATTTATTCATTTGTTCATTCAACAAATATTGAGCGCCAACTATAGGTCAGGCATTATCTTAGGCTCTAAAGAAACAGTGAATAAAACAAATAGATGTAATTTTATGAAGAACTAATGGATCTTTTCCCCCAAAGTGGTTCTACGATTGTACACTGTACAACAATGTATGAGAGTTCCAGTTGCTCCACATCCTTGCCAGGGATTAATGTTATCAAACATTTTAATTTTGTCCATTTCTATTTGGTGGTCTGTGGTATTTTTTATAGTTTTAATTTGTGTTTCCTTGATGATTAATGATGTAGAGCATGTTTTTTGTGTGCTTATAGGTCATTTGTATATCTTTTTCTGTGAAGTGTCTAGATCTTTTGTCCATGTTTTAACACGTTTTTCTTTTTATTAGTTATGAGAGTTCTTTATATCAATCCTTTGACAGGTACAAATTCTGTACATATTTTCTTTCTGGTCTGTGGCTTACCCATTCACTTTTATCTTGTCTTTTAATGAGCAGAAGTTGTTGATTTTGCAGAAGTCTAAATTCCCAGTATGTTTTCTTCAGAGTTACTGCTTTCTGTGTCTTAAGAAACTTTTGCCTATCCCCAAGTAATGAATATATTTGCCAGGTCTGAGGGACCCCACATAAAGGAATGCTTAGCTTTTAGTCTAAGAAACACTTAGAAGAGAAACACTTTATGCTGTTATGTAAAGCAGCAGTTCTGTTGCTCACAAAGTCACAGGCCTATATTTTGGTTCTGTTTTCTGAAAATATTTTTTTTACCTTACACACATGGTCAGTATTTCTGTGCTTGTGTAACAGGTTATATACATTGCAGGAATTTAGAACTTTCTCATTTATGTCTGCTTACGGACTTTCCGTGGGCAGGCTTGGCTTTGGTTTATTACAATTCTGATGTTTAAAAGAGATTATGAATGTGCTAATAGCAATTGTTTTTAAAATTAAAAGTTCAAAATCCCTTAAGCTCAATGTACATATGGGGACAAAATAAAGTTGATTAGGGAGGTAGTAGTTGATCGAAGTGCATATTTGTGGTGGCAGAATGTGGACCACGGGTATGGTACGCAAATCAGTAGACTCTAGATTAATTTACATGGCAGACTGTTATATGGTCCATGGCAATACAAAGTTATGTGGCACACATAACTGAAGATGAGAACTGCTACTTCCTTCTATATTTAAAAAACATAGTTAAGCAGTTCATACAGTGGGATTATTTCCTGCTCAAGAAATAGAACATTATCACAGTTTCATTTTCTTTCCAATCACTACTCTTCCCTTCTTCTCAATGTAACCGCTTGCCTGACTTGTAATACTAGAGATTTTGACTGTTTCTGAATCTTATATGAATGAAATCAGATGGTATTTATTCTTGTGTATCTGACTTCTTTTGTCCATTATTACATTTATGAGATTTTGTGTCTCTGGAGTTCATTCATTGTTTCTGATAGTATTGCATTGTATGAGTAGACCTCAATTTGTATGTTCATTCCATTGTGTGCTGAGGGAGATTTAGGTTTTCAGTTTGTTATTTTAAATAATGCTGCTGTAAATGTACTTGTGCATATCTTTTGGTGCACGTGTGTACACATTTTTGTTCAGTAGGAGTGAAAGTGCTGGGTAATAGAGTTTGAACATACTCAACTGTTGTAGATAATGCCAAAAAGTTTTCCAAAATGTTGTTGTTAGGTGCCGTTCAGTCAGTTCTGAGTCATAGTGGCCCTCCGTACAATGGAATGAAATGAAACACTGCCTGGTCCTGTGCCATCTTCACAGTTGTTGCTATGTTTTAGCCCATTGTTGCAGCCACTGTGTTGGTCCATCTTGTTGACAGTCTTCCTCTTTTTCACTGACCCTCTACTTTACCAAGCATGATCTTCTCCAGGGACTGGTCCCTCCAGATAACATGTCCAAAGTATGTGAGATGAAGTCTCCATCCTCGCTTCTAAGGAGCATTCTGGCTGTACTTCTTCCAAGACAGATTTGTTAATTCTTCTGGCAGTCCATGGTATATTCAGTATTCTTCACCAACAGCATAATTCAAAGGCATCAATCCTTTAGTCTTCCTTTATTCATTGTTCAGCTTTCACATGCATTTGAGGTGATTAAAAATACCATGGCTTGGGCCAGGCGCACCTTAGTCCTCAAAGTGACATCTTTGCTTTTTAACACTTTAAAGAAGTCTTTTGCAGCAGATTTCCCCAATGCATTATGTCGTTTGATTTCTTGACTGCTGCTTCCATGGGCATTGATTGTGGATCCAAGTAAAATGAAACCCTTGACAACTTCAGTCTTTTCT